CTCTATTGATATAGTGTATTATATTTATAGATTTTCGAATATTGAACCATCCTTGCATCTCTGGGATGAATCCTACCTGGTCATGGTGTATGATCTTCTTGATGATTTGCTGCATTCTATTTGCTAGGATTTTATTGAGGATTTTTGCATCTATGCTCATGAGGGAGGTTGGCCTATAGTTCTCTTTTTTAGTTGCATCTTTCACTGGTTTTGGTATCAGTATAGTACTTGCCTCCAGGAATGATTTCAGGAGAACTCTTTCCTTTTCAATTTCATTCAAGAGTTTGAGGAGTGTAGGGATTATATCTTCTATGAATTTCTTGTAGAATTCAGCTGTGAATCCATCAGGATGCCATGAGTTTAAAGCCAGCCTGAATTACATAGCAAGACACTGTCTCAAAAAAACAAAAACAAAATTCTCAAAATGGATGTAAACTCTAAGAAAATGTAGAAACTACAAAATTTATGTGTAGGAGTTTAAAACCACAAAATTCTGCCTTAGCTGTTATAACAAAAGGCTATGGGTGGAATGGCTTATACACAGCTGACCTTTGTCTCTCAGAGTCCTGGAAGCTGGGAGTGGTGGGCTCTAGGGAGGGCCCCTTCTGGCTGCACATGGGAACTTCCTGTGATCCTCTCAGGGTAGGAAAATAACTGGCAGGCTCTCTGTCTCTTTCAACTCTTTTTCTGAGGGCACCACTCTCACGAGTGCATCACCTCCCACATCACCATCTTGGAGTGTTTCCTACCTCCCACCCCAGAGTTGAAAAATGGAGTCTCTGTGTCCAGATCTGCAACTGACACACCCTAATTACCAGCCTAAAAGAGGTGATCTTCTGGAGCATCAGAATTTTTTCTCTGGTTAACTGTAGGGTCAACCAAATTGGAGTTGTGGGAAGTTCTCCAGGGCCATTCAGAGGAAGCAAAGATGTAAGGGACAGCTTGCTGGGATTATACACACATATTTTTTGGTTTTTTGAGCCAGGGCCTCATCCTATAGTTCAGGCCACCCTTGTACTATGTAGCCCAGGGTGATCTCAAACTTGTGATCCTTCCAAGTGCTGGGATTACAGGCATGTGTCAACACCCCTGGCTAATCTGAGGTTTTAAAGATCTGGTTATAAATAGACAGACTGAAGGATGTATTTCCCCAAAACACTGGCTAGCAGCAGGCATTGGCAGCTTGGCTTTCTATGGGAAGGAAGCCAGAGTATGGGGTGTGAGGGCAGCGTGACTGACAGGGACCTGGGGAACACAAGAAGATGCAGTGTTACTTCACTGCCATCTAACCAGAAAGCCTCTGTCACAGTCCACCAGGATGAGGTACCAGCCTAGAGGAACAGTGCTGGATCGACGCCGGTGTCAGGCTGGCTGTGTTACAGCAGCCCTTGGCCCTTGATTTGGAAATCAAGGGTTGGTGTGTCTGAGTGCTGCTGCTAAGAGATGAAACCGACGCCTGTCTCTGTTCCCAGGAAGGGTGCCTGTGGCCTTCAGATGGTGCTGTGCTGCGGCCTGGGGCCTCAGAGGTAAGAGGGCTTAGGGGTAGCAGCCCCAGAGAAGGGACCCCCACAGAGAACAGGCGAAGACTAGTTGTGATTGCCCAGAAGCTGCTAACGCAGCGGCCAGCGGGTAGCATCCCTAGGTCAGGACTGGCGCCCGCCCCAGATCCAGTCCCCATCTGCCTATGCTGTGGCTTCCTAATTGAGAGTCTGTGTGCACTGCTGTGGGCTCCTGGAAGCAGCAGGATGGTGTCTGGGAGACATTCCCTGGCCCGTGGTGGGGAACAGATCTATGATCATACATACTTTGGAATGCAAGACAATTCTTGGGCTAAGAATGAAAAGTAACTCCAGGAAACTATCCAGTATCAAAGTAACTGGGAATCTAGAAACCAGAAAGCAAAAGAAAGGCCGTTTCTGGTTTCTTACAAAAGGCGTTGAAACCATTAAGCCTTTGAGCCCCTCCCCATTTTAAATGTCTTGGGCGACCCGGACTCTCCAGAGGGACCGGGATCGCTTTCCCTGGCACCCCTGCTTGTGCCCCCCCTTCCTCTGTCCAGTCCCCCCTTGTACACCTCCCACCCGCCCGTGTCCCCCAGCACCCTGTCTGTTCCTGTGTTCCCCAGTGATCCTGCCTGTTTGCCTGTGCCCGTCTGTCACCACGGCTCTCCTGTCGCCCTGCAGGTCTCCTTCGCGCCACGGGACCGCTTCGGCCGTCCCGTGCTGGCCCCGGCGCTGTCCTACGCGCGGCCGGAGCTGGACCTGCCGCCCACCATCGCTCTAGCCGACGGCGAGGAGCCGCAGCACTTGGGCGCCCGCGCGCTGCGCCTCCGCGACCCGGAGCAGCAGCGCGAGCTGAGCCGCGAGTCGGTGCGCGCGCCGCCCAACCGCACGGTGTTCGCTGGGGCCTCACGGCCCTGCCCGCCCAGCAGCCGCGCGGGCGTCAGCGC